GTGGAGACGGGAGACGACCTGGGGTGGCACACAGCACAACACACAGGTGACGCATATGGGACTGCGCTCCTGAAACCTGATTTTATTAACCAGTGTCACCCAGTATAGCAAATAAAAAGGGGTGTTCTTGACTTACGCGAATGAAGCCCGTCCCCATCGACAGGTCCGACTCTCCCGTCTCTTCCTAGGCGAGCTGTGTTTCCACATTGCTGTGTTTTAAGTACAAAACTCAGAAAATTAACTTCGCTTTTTCCAGAGTCAGTTTCTTTGGCTCAGCACTAAAATCTACGGTCAAAAAAAAGGGTAGAAGTGTCAAAATATGATGCTGCGATTTTTTTTTACCACGATGAAAGTAATTTAATAGCAATTGTGTAGTAAAATGTAGTTTGAAAAATAAGAAATATAATTTTATTAAAAGAATTTTTCTATTTTTCTAGGATATTTAATTATTAACTTTATAATTAGTAACTTCATAATCCTTTCTTGTATATGTAATTATTAACTTGATAATTAATTAACAACTTGGTCACTAGTCAATCGATAAGTGTTTTTTGAGCATTTCTCATAGGTGGGGCCCTATTCTAGGCACTAAAAATAATTAGCAACCAGACAGACAAAAAAGTCAAGCTCCCTGCCCTCCTGACTCCCACTCACTTCCTCTGCAGAGAAGCCCAGGGAAGCCTGTTTCGACCCTGGAAACATAATGAACGGGACGAGAGTCGGGACGGATTTCAAGCTCGGCTCCACCGTGACCTACCAGTGTGACTCCGGCTACAAGATTGTGGACCCCTCGTCCATCACGTGCGTGATCGGGGCGGACGGGAAGCCGGCCTGGAACCAGGCCCTGCCCTCCTGCCGCGGTAGGTGTGCAGCTGGCTCCTGCCGGGTCGCTCAGCCTCGCGGTTCCGGGGAAAACAGATAAAGGGAAATATGCACTTATTATATGTTTAAGTCTATGTTAAATATACGCATGTCATATATAAATACATGGAGATATAAAGAGTCATACACGTATATGCAAAGTCACGTGGTAAAGGGATTTGTGAATCTGTTAGCGGTAGGTCGTTATCTTTGTGTTAGGTCATGGCTGTGAGGCCAGTTTGTGAGCCAGTCCTTCTGGTTCGACCTGAGTGCTGAACGAGGGCGGGTTTGGATTTGTTAACTGCTTAGGAGGGTGACGAGCATGCGGGTTTTAGTCTTTACTAGAGTATTCGTGACAGAAATGAGGGAGAGTAAACACGCTCACCCACATTCTCTCACACACTCACACGCACATTCACACACACACACATTCATACACTCACACACGCACATTCACTCACACACACAGGCACATTCACACACACACACACACATTCACACTCACACACACACACAGGCACATTCACACACACACTCACACACATTCACACTCACACACACAGGCACATTCACACACACACTCACACACATTCACACTCACACACACAGGCACATTCACACACTCACACACACACACGCACACACACACCCCGTCACACACACATACACTCCTCACACACACACACANTCACACACACACATGCACACACACACCCCGTCACACACACATACACTCCTCACACACACACACACACACACGCACACTCACACTGACACACACACTCACACTCATCCCCGTCTGTAATAAGCACTTCACCACTGCATCTGCCCTGACTTTCTAGGTTTTGGTTCCTTCGCTCTAGATCAGACGTTTAGAGACACCCGGACACAGTAGTAAGGACGCGTGTTGCTCTTGAACTGAATCTAGGAGCTTGAAGGTTAAAACAACCACAGAAGGACTAGAAAGAGCACGTTTTTCTTTGCTCCCATCGTCATGTAAAACCAGCAGAAACTCTAGATAATCTGTGTCTCTCTCAATATCGTGATTGACGTCAGCCAGAGATGTCTGGTGAGACCTGTAAATAGCCTAATGATTTGTCTTAGTTGAACCTGTGACTTGTCATTGGCGCTTTTTCATGGTTATTTCAGTGAGTCTGAGAAGGCCTGACACTGGCACCATGTCTTCCTGCTAAACTAACTTACTTTTATTCCCACCCGGTAAATGTTTGTTTCACTTTTATTTTGGGCGCTGACTGTGACATCCTGTAAGTTGTAGGTGAACCTGCTGCTGCTCACTTACCCCCACCCCCAGCGTCCCCACAGGCTCGTGATCTGGCTGCTTTCCCTTCCAGCTCCCTGCGGAGGCCAGTACACGGGGTCGGAGGGGGTGGTACTGTCCCCCAACTACCCCCAGAACTACACGGCTGGTCAAACCTGCCTCTATTCCATAAAGGTGCCAAAGGGATTTGGTAAGAATGTCTTTATGTTTTTAATTCGTTGTCATACTTTCAGTGTTATTTTCTCTGTCATTTTACGAACAAGTATTCCGGCTCTTAATAGCATAAGAGAGCGTGGAGGGAGGCGAGCTGTGGTAGAGGCGGGAGCTCCAGCTGGGTCTCAGACGGTGTCCACAATTTATCCCTGGGGCGTGAGATGCGTCCCTCCCCTCCTAGGAGTCTGACCCGGAATAATCAGAGAGAAGAGGTCTGGCTTTCTTCTCCTTTTTGTTAGAAAGCATTTTTCAGTGGGTTGTTTGCAGGTGTAAGGGAGGGTCACCAAGCAGCGTGGGTCAGGGGACACTTATGTGATCGTGAAGGACGTCCCCAGATCGGTGACACCTTTGAGTAGATGGAAAAGCCGCTGAGCCCTCTCTGACCCCTCAAAACCTAAGTCCCTGAGTTTTCCTCCCGAACTCTGCTTCCGATCGGAGACAGTTTTCCTGAATGTCTTCAATTCTAGAAGGTTCTCCCCTGGAGGCCACACACCTGGGTAACGCAGCCCTGGGCCCTGGCACCCCCACCCTCATTGTCTAGCTCCCTTCTTCATGCTCAAACTACCCCCCACCCCCCGAAACAGAGCCAATGAAAGTACCAACGTCAGAACCCACGGGAGGGAAAATATTTTAAAAATTTCAATTCTGTGAGAAGAGCATTAATTGCTGGGCAAGAAACTGGCTTATGGGAGAAATCAAATGACTTGCGAACATCCTTCGTTTGTTATTTATAGTCTATCATTTTAGTTTATTACAAATTTTACTGAGTCATCACAAAATTATGATTTTCCAGCAGAAAAAACTCACACACCCCCATCCTAAATATTGATCACATTTTCCAATCTGAAATGTTTGGTCACATTACTGTGTTGCAGTCTCTCTGGGTGAAAAACTTTAGTTGGAATAAAATAGTTATAGGAAATTTTGATGAAAATCTGTACTAAGTATTTATTTTTTCCCCCCTTTTTAAATCCTCTCCTGGGGAATAAATTGATTTAACAGTTGTGACAAGTATCAAGATGAATAACATGTGGTCCGTGGCCGGGAGACGCCCACCCAATGCCGTGGGTGGGGTGACCGCCACTAGGCAGGCCCGACTGTGGTGCACACAGGCTCCCGATGCACGTGGCAGCTGGAACCGGCCTTCAGATGCTGTGGTTTCCTCCCTCTTTCCACCCAGGAGCATCCCAACAGCATCCTTTGTAAATCGGAGCTCGGACCACGCACACACCCTGGTCAACACCGTTCCCTTGCTCCTCGGCCCACAGAGCAGGCCCCGGGGGGCTCAGTCCCGCCTTCGAGGGGGACAGTGAAGGGCAGGCAGGTGGACAGGCGAGAACCTTGCAGGGATCAGAGTTCTCTCCCTTTTCCTATCAGAACCCCCCACCCCGGGGAACCGACCTTGTCCACGTGCACCCTTAATCCGTGTGTGTGTGTGTGTGTGTGTGTGTCCTATTAACTCTACATGTGATATACGGAATATGTCTGTAATAGAATACATGCCGCCTACACAACTGAACACACACGCACATGCCGTCGGTTAGATTTGCCAGCACTCACCTTAATTCTTTCGCCAGAACCCTGGCAGCTACAGCTGGCGCTCAGGCCTCCCCGTAGTGCTCACGACGATGGGGAATGAGTGTAGCTCAACCCGACACACACAGAAGATTCACTGTCCTTGTTTGTAAGTCGATGCTCGATCACGTTTCTGTAAACACCGTCAGGGCCCAACATGTCACTGATTTGAGCACAAACACTGAGTCTGAAGTAGGAATGTCCACGGGGCTCATGTTCGCGTTTCCCTTGGAGGAGGCGAGTTCTTGCCTCACAACCCGGAACATAAGCCAAAGGTCGCGTGAAGTAACCCTGAGCCGCATCGGCCCTGTGCTGCTGGGTCAGGGGTATAAAGTGCAAGGAACTCACATGACTGTGGCGTGAAAATAACCATCGCTTAAGGATTTTAAACCCCTTACCGAAGGAGCGGGCTTCCAGCCCTCAGGTGTCCTGATCCGCGTGCTCGGCGTCCCTGCCCATCCCTGCCTGGGGCCGCTGTACAAGGCCCCCGCCCGGTGCTAGAGCAGAATCAAAACTGTCTCCACTGACGGTCAGACGGTCAGAAAACAGCCACCTCGTTCCTTCCATTAAGCGCCAGAGGTCGAGGAACGAAATACAGTTGTTTTAGCAAAAGAGAAGTTTTAGAAAGCAGAGAAAATACGTTATTTTTACAGGACTCTGGGGTCCTGCCCTGGGAGGAACCCGTCAGCGTGTAGCACAACCAGAGCCCCGTTTCCTCCTCCTAAGCCTGTTTGCCCCCTTGTCCCACAGTGGTGTTCGGACAGTTCGCCTATTTCCAGACGGCGCTGAACGACGTGGCGGAATTGTTCGACGGGACGCACCCCCAGGCCCGGCTCCTCAGCTCGCTCTCCGGGTCCCACTCAGGTAGACGCCCAAAGAACGTGCCTTTAACTTTATCCTGGGGCCAGTGATTCACCTGAAACGTGTGTGTGTGTGTGTGAAGGAGAAATTTTATAATCTTGGGATGTGTTTGCTTATTTCATAAAGTTTTATCTTCGATATAAAATTTCTGATGTACTTTTATTTCATATTTAAAACTGTTTGCTTTTATCATTTTACTTACTGACGTTATAAAAGATAGAGTAGCCTTCAGAACAAAAATGGAAAATATCCAGAAAAAGGAATAATAATTTTGCATATTTTGTTTTCTATTTTGTTGGGATGTTCTTCTGGAGCTGACGGAATTAACAATTTGGTTTCAATCGTTCGAATCCTGTAAATATAGACGTATGGACCCACCGCACACACGTGTGTAACAGTACACGTGTTTACACACATGTGCACACATGCACCCACACACATGTGCCTGTAAATATACTTGGGGCTTCATGAAACACAGGATATTAGTTCAAACTTGTTTTTATTCCATATTTTCACTTTGAATGACACGGGGAGGTCTCTCCCCATCGGACGCCTGAGGCAGCGAGCGTCACTGGTGTTCAGACGGGCGGACGAGGCCCCTGGGCCACCCTCGTGACGGTGGCCTGTCACCCTCTGCAACACGGCCGTGCTCTGTTCCTCAGCCACCCGAGTCCAGTGACCTCGTGCGCTTCACGGGCCGTGGCCGCCCGAGCTCAAGGCCTCGCAGCCCCCAGTTTCCACCGTTATCCACCGAAGGCCTTGAGACCCGAGTCTTGAAAGTGTCTCCTGTCAGAGGACAGAGTTGAAATGCGGACACACGGACAGCTCCCGGAAGGGCCCCGTCCACAGCCCCGCAGGGATCTGCCCGTTTGGCTCCTGGGCCTTCACCAGAAGGGGGAAAATATAGTTCATGAGGCTCTTCCTCGATCCTTAAGTTATTTAAAAATCAGCTTTCGATTCGGAGACATTTTGTTGATTTTAAGGAAAATCTTAGCAAGTAATTATCCGATAAAGCTGGTTCAGCAGCAGTGACACACCCAGTTCCTGTATTTCCCGCCTCACCAGCCACAGGCCTATGAGCTGCGTTTTCAGAGGAAACAGAAATGAGGTCACAGGTGAAACGACATTTTAATCGGTGTTTAGGCAAGAAGGGAGCGCGAAGGTCTTTCTAGAAACAATGTGCTTGGGCCCTAAGCCCCGGAGGGAGGCTCTCTGAGAATGCAGATCGCCCGCGTCCAGCCCCACGTCCGTGACCCCGCGTGGCCCCCGCCCCCACGCGCTCTCTGTCTTCCAGGTGAGGCCCTGCCCCTGGCCACGTCCAACCAGGTGCTGCTCCAGTTCAGCGCGAGGAGCGGGGCGTCGGCCCGTGGCTTCCACCTCCTGTACCAGGGTAAATGTCTGGGCGCCACTGACGCCCCGCCGGCCCCTGCGACGGCAGGGAAATGCCCCAGCTGCAGCGTCCGCCTTTTAAGAAATGGAGGGGATTCGCTTACAAAATTATGCCATAAAAATATTGAAAGCTTGAGTTTGACCCGCATCTGTTTCAACAGCAGAGACCACATTTCCCCTTAGTTACAAACATCAATCAAGTTACTGTTGCATCACCCTGGCAGGTTTGCTCTGCGGTCACAGCGTCGGCCCGGGGACGGAAGTGTCCCGGGTTTGACTCCGGCCCAGGGCACGTCCCTGGGTTGCAGGCTCGCTCCCCGGCCCCGCTCCGGGTGCCTGTGGGGGGGCAGCCGCTGGCTGTGTCTCCCCCACGTCCGTGTCCCCTGACGCCCGGGGCAGATGCACCTTAAGTCTTCCTCCATGAAGACACCGCGGGCCGTGCCCTGTGCTTTGCCCGCAGCGGTTCCCCGGACCAGCGACACCCAGTGCAGCTCCGTCCCCGAGCCCAGGTACGGCCGGAGGATCGGCTCCGAGTTCTCGGCGGGGTCCATCGTCCGGTTCGAGTGCAGCCCGGGGTACCTGCTGCAGGGCTCCGCGGCCGTGCGCTGCCGGTCGGTGCCCAACGCCCTGGCCCAGTGGAACGACACGATCCCGAGCTGCGTGGGTAAGCGGGCCCCCCAGGGCGTCGCCCCGGCCGCGCGGGGCCGGGCTCCCCGTGAACCCGTCCTGCTCCAGGCTGGGCTAAAGAGCAGCCTGTCTGCTGGAAATCGCCGAGTGGCAGCAAACCCCGCACCCTGCTTCCCGAGGCCGCTTTTCATCCTGGGAAACGGCCGTCCTGCTGGGTGGCTGGCGGGTGAGCCCTCAGCTCTCAAGCGGTTTCGTTTGGGGGGAAATGCGTGTGATGGTTTGTGTAACGAGCGCCCAATAAATGTGAGCTGGCGGGGATCCCGGGTGACAGGACGCAGTCGCGACCGGCAAGGGTGCCGGGTGCCGGTTCCTTGCGGTGTCTGGGTAAGAACCTCCAGCTCCGTCAGGGTGGCCCTTGAGCCGCGCCTGCATCTGCAGCCCCCCCCCNGTCACCCGGAGCTGGCGGCGGGCCTGCGAACCTCCGGAAACCTGGTGGATAAATTATTCTAAACAGAGGTGACCGCAGAGAGGCCCCCGCCGGCCGGGCGGCTGCTCCGAGGCCGGGGCCAGATTTCCCCTCAGACACGGGTCTAAGCTCAGCGGCACCGTGAACCGTAACCAGCAGCGTTTGCTGCTACTTTGAAAGAGGCTGGATTTGGCCTGAGCTTAAAAATGCCACGTAAAGCGTCAGAGCCCGTGTGAAATCTCTCGCCGTCCGCTCACGTGGCGGCAGAAGCCTGGCGCCACGCCTGCGCTCGCTCCTAAACCCGGGCCTGTCTTCCAGTCCCCTGCAGCGGAAACTTCACCCAGCGCAGGGGCACGATCCTCTCCCCCGGCTTCCCGGAGCCCTACGGGAACAACTTAAACTGCGTCTGGAGAATCACAGTGACGGAGGGATCGGGGATTCAGGTGGGTCCCCCGCGCCCGGCGCCCGCAAATAGACGGGGCTCAGCCGGGTTTCTCTCTCTCTTCCCGAAGGGTGTCGGTCATTTTAAACACAGACCACAACCAGTTCCTCTTTTCTTGCTGTGTCTACAAAGTATCGCTCATCAAGCTTCTATATTTGACATTAAAATAATAGATTCTTAGAGTAAAAGTTATCAAAGGTGCCATTGGTGGGAATTGTTGGAGTCCTTTCCACGGTTTACTTTCTCTGGTTTTGCTTTTCTCTTACACATACATTTACTGTAATAAAAACCTCGTAAGATTAGGCCGAAGGTAGACACTAACCTGACGCTACTGTGCGGCAGATCCAGGTCATCAGTTTCGCCACAGAACAGAACTGGGACTCCCTGGAGATCTACGACGGCGGGGACGTGACTGCGCCCAGGCTGGGGAGCTTCTCAGGTGAGGGAGGCCGGGGGCTTCTCAGGTGAGGTGAGGGGGAGGCCGGGGGCTTCTCAGGTGAGGGGGAGGCCGGGGGCTTCT